GAAACTATGCTGAACTTGTCAACAATATGGTGACTGCTTTCAAAAAACTCGGATGCAAAATGAGCATCAAACTGCATTATCTATTTTCACATATGGATCGTTTTCCTGAGAATCTTGGATCAATGAGCGACGAGCAGGGAGAGAGATTCCACCAGGAGATGAAGGAGATGGAGACCAGGTATCAGGGACGTTGGAATGCCGTCATGATGGCTGATTACTGCTGGACTCTAAAGAGAGACATCCCTGATGCTGAGCATTCCAGGGTATCCAATAAACGGAAGTTCCAGCCCTAAATTCTTAACAATGACGAACATTAATGACCCTTACTTAAGGTACTGTGTTTCAGAACGCTTTTTTCTCTTTGAAACCAATTCCGAATGAGAAATGTTCATAGAAATAAACCGATTATGGCACAAAAATTTTACTGATTTATTCACAAATAAAATAAAATAAACATTTAACTTAGCAGAAAAACTGGACCTGACCTAGAGAAACGGATGTCATTTTCGGACTCAGCGGTGCCAAATTATCATAAATCAGTTGTAAAAAATTAGGAAATTTCCTCAAAAATTTTTTTTGTTGCTCAGTGTTATTAAACTTTAAAAATAATTTTTAGCAACAAACCTTTACATATGCCACTTTTTTAATTTTTAAAATTGAATTGGCATTTCAAATATTCCAACAAAACTTTTCATGAAACCGAACAAAACCTATACTGAAGAACAAAAACGTTTTGCATTTGCATTTGTACGGTGGAAAAAGCTACCAGTTTTTGAAATGTAAAGGATTACATCTGCCACATAAACGTACATTAGCACGGTAAGTAATTGTTTAATATTATATATATAATTAAAAATTTAAGTATTTAAATGTATCAAGGTGGTTAGAATCTGTAGATGGAGGACCAGGCCTCAATCGTTCTATGTTGAATTTCCTGAAGAAAAAACACGAAACAGATGCAAAACAATTTACACATTGTTCTTTGATGATAGATAGTATGAGTATTGTCAAAAGAATATGATGTATTATGTATTTTAGAAATTTTTTTATTTGCAAATTTAACAAGCATTTATTTCATTAAAGCTATAAATGTTATATGTAAATATTTTTGTAAAATGTTTTGAAAATAATTATCTCAATATTAATTATTTTTTATTGCACTGAATTTTACTGCACCCACCCAAACAGTATTTGAGTATAATAAATTAGCAATAATAATTTTATACATGATTTTTATATTATGAAATATAATAATGTTTAATTATACTAAATAGATGATTGATTTTAATTAACTTTTATGTCGATCAGTTTCAACTAAGTTCATTATATTAACAGTTATTTATATACTAAATAGATGATTGATTTTAATTAACTTTTATGTCGATCAGTTTCAACTAAGTTCATTATATTAACAGTTATTTATATACTAAATAGATGATTGATTTTAATTAACTTTTATGTCGATCAGTTTCAACTAAGTTCATTATATTAACAGTTGTTGATGCAGGGTCAGTAATTTTTTTGCTTTTGCCATTTACGTTTTTTAAAATTTATTTTGCCGTATATCACTTAGTCCATTTATTTTCTTTTTTTCAACGAACAACTTAACAATTTATTGGAACATATTGTGCCTTGATTTTTAGCACCATTACATGTACATAAAAGGTTAGCTTCTAGTTTCTAGCATCATCCAAAAAATGTTTAATTTTAGAAAAATTGAACAAAATGCATAAATGTTAATGTTAAAATAATTAGGAACATCCATATATTTGCCAAAATTTTCCTGAATCATAATGATTAATTTGTCATTAAATTTTGAATTAAACCTTTATTTTACAACATTTGTTTACAGATTAAAAAAAATTTATAATTTGATGACGTTGAAGATAACTGGACTTGTTATTAATCTAGGTGGATGAATGTATATATCAAAGTGTATGTGTAGTAGATTCATCCAAAAGATGTTTTATTTCCAGGACAATTGAGCAAAATGTATGAATGTCAGATATTAAAATAAATATGAACATCCTTACATTTTGCCATAAATTTTCCGGAATCAAAATCTAAAATCATTTTATTTTCAACTAACAACCTATTTGATAACTAAGTTGGTAGAGACGAAAATAGCAACTTATTTAAATGTTATGATATAAAAAAACAAAAACTTCGTGTAGACGATTAAATTTGAAACAGTAAAATGAAATGTCAACTACAATGAAGAAATGTTTACGCTCAAGTTATGTTCTCTATTCCATAGAACTAAAAAAATTATTAGCCAGGAAATAATTCTTACGCCATATCCACTATATCCTTGATACCATTACGTTATAAAAAGCAAATTGATGATAATTAGCTTATTGCGCTAAAGGGTCATTAGCATATGAACTGCATTTTTTGCTGGGGAATAATTAGCATGCGCCATAATCTTAGAAATCTTTACAAGCCAACGAATGCAACCGCGCAAATTTTGAGTGCGCTTTTGAGTCTAGTCTCATTTTTTAGTTTCTACGAAATTATTCATCAAACTTATCATATTTTACAAATTTCACATTTAAATAGTTTCTTAACATATATTTATTCATTTTAATTATGTTTTAATTGATTTATTTCATGAATTTGCATAATATTTATGCGCATTTATTATATTTATAGTACCTGTAGGGATCAAACATTTATTTATTAACTATCTTATATATTAATTATTATTAAAGATTATTGCAACTTTCAATGTTACCTAATCTATGTTAATTTTTATTTCTTTGCTTCTCTCTCAATCTTCCTTCTTTTTCTTGAGAGCTTGTAAACGGGACGGTTCCAGATTCACGTTAGAATAAAGTTAATAATTTTTTTCGCCTGAATTATGTTTTGTGTTATTTTACTTCACAACAAGATGTCTTGTTAGTAGCAGAACGCTCGTACCAACAAATTGGTGACCCCGACGTGATTCTTCTAACGTGAATCAAAGACTTCTCCATAATAAATTTTCAATTTTTAACATGGCGGAATCCGGATTTAACAATATCGACATGATATCCATCGAGTTGCCCACATTTATGGATACAGCAACGACAGGATGGTTTGCAATTGCTGAAGCTCAATTTCATCTCCGAAAAGTTAGTTCATCGAAAACAAAAATTTATCATATCCTATCATCGCTATCGGCAGATTTAGCTGCAAAATTACCACAACACTTGTTTCATGATAGAAATTATGACGACCTCAAAACAGCGGTGATATCGATTTACGAAAGAAAAAAACCAGAATTGTTCGCTCGCTTGATCGGAGATACTAAAATGACAGGCAGACCATCACACTATTTACAAGAATTATTAGCGACAGCCAATAAAATTGGAGTGGGAGATGAACTCGTACGTCATATATTTATAAAAGCTCTTCCAACAACAATTTCTCCAGTCATCGCGGCTCAAAAAGATTTCGACCTACAGCGACTGGGAAATTTAACAGATGAATTAATCTCATTTGCTAAAAACGAAATTTACGCTATGAACAGAGAAACCACGAACAACAACAACACTTTTTTCTACAGAACGAGTTCAACAGAAAGCATTCCTGATACGAACATCCCAATCAACGTTTGCCCATTTTATAAAGACCAACGCACTCAAATCTGCCGAGGTCACTTATATTTTGGCGGCAAATCGAAAACGTGCAAACTGTGGTGCAGATGGCCAAGCAAAAAAGTTTACAAATTCAACCATCTTCAAGACCTTCATCTCCAACCCAGATGAGATCACCCGCAAACAACATTTCTTCACCCCAGCCGTCGGAAAACTGATCAGGCGAGCCGAAGTCGCATCAATCGGCTCGCCACATTTTGAAGTTGCCGCTAGAATTGGATGCACAACGTTAAAATTAATAGTAGATACTGGCGCATCAGTCATAATTATCCCAACAAAATTTTTAGCAGGATTATGTTTGCAACCCACTGCCGTTCACCTGTCAACTGCGAGTGGTGAAAACATTACCAGTCATGGAGAAACCATTGTTGAAATCTACATCCTATCATTGCACAGAAGATACAAATGGAATGTTGTAATTGCAGATATTGTCAAACCTTTTGTAAGGCCAAGATTTTTTCATTATGAAATCCTTGGCGATTGCACCAACAACAGACTGATTGACACAGTAACAACAAAAAAACGATTACCATAAACGTTTTGCAGAATTTCGTTCCATAAACTCACATCAATAAACCGCTAGTTTCCCAGATAGTAACGAAACTCATCAATAAATTTCCAATGTTGATAAAACAAAGAAATGAAAATCAAATAAAAACTAACTCAAAAGTAAAACACATCATCGACACTGGTGAAATCCAACCAACATTTGCCGGCTCGCCAACTGTCTGAAGAGAAATATAAAGTACCAAAAAAGGAATTTACGTCTTTACTAAACGCCGAAATCATCAGACAATCTAAATCTCCCTGGGCTTCTCCATTCCATCTAGTTCCAAAAGGTACTTCTGGACAATGGAGAGCTTGCGGAGATTATCGTTGTGTAAATGCTATTACGAAACCAGACAAATATCCAATTCCAAACATTCACAGCATCTCAACTAAACTACATAGCAAAAAGATATTTTCAAAATTGGACTTCTTAAAAGCCTATCACCAGATACTAGTACATGAAAACGATATTGAAAAAATAGCCGTAATAACACTTTTTGGACTCTTTGAGTTTGACTCTTAGGGTTTATGCTTTTTGGTTTGCGAAATGCAGGATGTATATTACAAAGATTCATGGATAATATCCTCCAGAACGCTCATACTAACATACCTTTATCCTAGGTACCGACTGTGTTTTTGTTTATCTAGACGACATTCTTATATTTTCAAAAAGCACTGAACAACATGAAAAAGATTTAGAAACCGTATTTCAAATTCTTAGCGAAAATAATTTGAGAATCTCCATAGACAAGTGCCAATTTTTAAAAGAAAATCTAAATTACCCAGGATTCAACATCAGCGGTGAAGAACTATTTCCTACAAAAAAAATAAACAAAATTAAAAAATTTCCAGTTCCAAATAATACTAAATCTTTACGTAGATTTTTAGGAATGATTTGTTTCTATCGCAAACTCATTCCACAATTTGCAGATATTGCATTTTCATTAAAAGAATTAATAAAGTTGCACCCCAACTCAAAAACAATAGTGTTTAATAACGAAGAATTAAAAACTTTTAAAACCATCAAATCTAAACTTGCCAACGTAACAACACTTCCATATCCAGATTCAAAATGTACAAAATACCACTTAGTTACTGACAGTTCTGCTTACGCCATAGGTGCAGCACTGCATCAAGTAGTTGATTCAACTCCTGTACCAATCGGTTTCTACTCTAAAAAATTAACTGAACCACAACGTAAACTTTCTACATTCGACAGAGAACTACTAGCAGCGTACCTTGCCATCATCCATTTTAAACATCAGATTGAAGGAAGAAATGTAACTCTATTTACAGATCACAAACCATTATGCGCTGCCTACAAAAAGAAAACACCATTATAGTCAGACGTTTCAAAAACGATATCTTTCAATGATATCCGAATACATTGCAGACGTCATTTATATCCACGATGAAGAAAACGTTGTTGCGGATTGTCTCTCTCGGCCAGCAAATGCTGTAAAAATAGACGTCTGTGACTTGTTGTCGATAACCAAACAACAAGAAATTGATGATGAAATAAAATCATTCAAAGATCAGTTAAAACAATATCCAATTGACGATAACAAAAAAATATCTCACGATATCTATGATATCATCATTCAATTTACCGTCTGCACGTTTTGAGACTGTTCATATTGATATTGTAGGTCCGTTATCACCGGTCAAGCAAGGAAATGAAACCTATTCAAGTCCATTCAGATATTTACTCACATGCATTGACAGAACAACTGGTTGGATCAAAGCAGCTCCAATGACAGAAATATCAGCTTCAACAGTTGCTACAACCTTCTTGAACATTTGGATCGCTCGATTCGTTTTTCCTCTTTATGTTGCAACAGACCGAGGTACACAATTTGAGAGCGAATTATTTAACGAACTATCAAAAATAATTGGATTTTACCGTCTGCGTACAACAAGTTATCACCCACAAGCCAATGGAAAAATAGAACGTCAACATCGTTCCTTGAAAACAGCAATTAGTTGTTGTAAACAAAACTGGTTAGATGCATTAGCTGTCGTTCTTTTAGGACGTAGAAACATACCAGATGAAAATGGAATATCCCCAGCAATAGTAGTAACAGGAACCAATTTGTTATTACCAAGTCAATTTTTATTCCCAGATTCAAATGAAGATATAACATCTAGTCAAATCAAACAACTAGCAAAAGAAATGTTTAAACTTAATGACTACCTAACAACTAACAATCAACATCACTACCAAAAAGCTTACGTACCAAATGAACTTTCAAACAGTAGTCACGTATGGTAAAGAGTAGATCGAGTACGTTGTCCACTGGAAGCATCATATACAGGCCCTTTCAAAGTGATTGAACGTAACGACAAATACTTTAAAATTGAATTGTTACCAGGAAATTTTCAGAATGTGCCAATTGATCGATTAAAGCCAGCTTGTTTATCATTACCTCCAACAACCAAAACCAGAATAAACAACGAGAATAGTTTGACAACGAACAACAAACTTTTTACAACAGATTCAACAACAGCCAGACAGCCTAACCAGCAACATCAGACACAAAATCTACTGAAACACCAGAAACAGCAACAACAACAACATCAGGCGCAACAACAACACAAGAAACAAGACCGACGTCAACCACATCGGAACCAACAACCCAACACTCCAGAAAAGACGAATTGCATTCTACAAACGAAATGAATATTTTTATTTTTAAACGGGTCGCCTTTTGTGGTGGAGTATTGTAGGGATCAAACATTTATTTATTAACTATCTTATATATTAATTATTATTAAAGATTATTGCAATTTTCAGTGTTACCTAATCTATATTAATTTTTATTTCTTTGCTTCTCTCTCGATCTTCCTTCTTTTTTCTGATAGCTCGTAGACGAGACGGTTCGAGATTTACGTTAGTATAGAGTTAATAATTTTTTGCGCCTGAATTGTGTTTGTTTTGTTTATTTTACTTCACAACAAGGTGTCTAACAGCAAGGTGCAGCAGAACGCTCGTACTAACATACCTTTTTCCTGGTATATCCGGACTGATTTGAGATCGTAGTGCTTGACAGACATCTTCCTGGTAAGTGCTGATAAAGAGTCATTAGCATATCACGCAAATGTTGTGTGAAAGAGTTGTGTACTTGCCGTATTCGTACTGGCCAACCGTGCCTGCATTAGCAGGTCAGCAAATTAACGTACTTGTGGGTTCAAGTCAACACACTATATATATATATATATATATATATATATATATATATATATATATATATACAGTATTGTATGAATTCTACTGAATTGTTGGCATTAATCAATTTAAAGTTTGTTTTTTTTTTACTCAATAACACAACATAACATATAACAATACTGTATAATATATGGTATCCTTCCAACATATATATATATAATTATATATGCAATTATTAATGAAAATCACAGCATGTTCGGCGTTAGTTAACTTCCAATTTAACTTTTCAATTTTTCTAACGGTTGATCGTTAATCATTTTCAAGTTTCTTTAGTTCAAAACCAAAATTTTTGTTTATTTTATGCATGATAAAACAGAAAAGCTTTTCTCGGTATTCCTATACCATTTTCGGTGTTCAAATTGATATATATTAATATATATATATATATATATATATATATATATATATATATATATGTTGGTAATAGACCATAATTTAAACATATTCTTAAACATATCATCAATAAAAATGTCACACCAACCAACCCAAATAATAAAGTTAAACTCCGAATATATTACAACAATAAAAAGACGTCTCACCTAATACTGAAAAACAACTGTAGTCATAGAGATAACTCTGTGCTAAGGCGTAATCACGTAATATATGAATTTAATTGCCCCTTTGACGGCTGTGCACGTCAACATGACTCATATATCGGGATTACTACTACCTCATTGACTAGAAGGCTTACGATGCATAAACAGAGTGGTGCTATCAAATCTCATTTGGACTCAGCACACTCAATCACTATTAGCCGTGAAATTCTCGACAGTAACACCAAAGTAATATACCAGAACAGCAACTACACGCATCTTAAAATTGCAGAAGCAGTCCTAATTGACATCAATAAACCAAAAATAAATATACAACAAAAAATGACAACCTCACTTCCAACCCGGCGCTTAACCAACAACGAAAACAAAGAAGTAATAAAAACTAGCATTTTAAATAGTGACAAAGAAGAATATGATGCTATCGATGAAGAAAAGGAGACCAAAGAAGATGACCAGCCAATAAAGAAACCTGACACCTAATTTCCATCTAAATTCACATTGACAAAGTCAATCTCCATCTAAATTCATTTTGACTAAGTCAATATTTCCCTATATTAACATCAGAAAGCACTGATGATGATTCATTCGGAATCGAAATATGGCCTTATTTTCAGCATGAATTCGAAAAATAAGTTTATTTTGAATTTTAATAAACTAAACGTTCACCAAAAAACTTTAGTGAGAAAAATTAAAAAAACGAACTATAAACATATTAACGCCAAACATTCGGTAGAATTTATAGAATATTGTAAAAATATCTATATATCTATATATATATTGGTAACAGACTGGTGTTAACGCAAAATTTCAAAAATTCAACACTACTTTCAACATTGTTCAACTTTTTTATAAATTTGTTAAAAAAAACCTTGATTATTTGACACCCATCTGTCTTGGTTCTTATACTTTTACCAACAATTTCAGAAGGAAATATATAGTTATAAGAAAGTTGAACAATGTTGAAAGTAGTGTTGAATTTTTGAAATATATATTATATATATATATATATATATATATTATTAATGAAACATTTAAAAGCGCTAAATAAAATCAAAAAGTTCTCAAAAGCGCTATCTATAGTCAAACAAAGCCAAAAAAAAAAGTACAGTCAATGGCGGTAGTAACAAACAAATAATTATTCACTTAAAAACAAAATCAAAGCGAAAATAAGTAGGTTTTAAGTTTCTTTTTAAAATCATCAAGTTTCAAATCTTTATTTCTAAAAAATCTCGGTAAGCTGTTCCAAACCATTGGTTCACATACTGCAAAATCTCTTGATGCTATCTGCAGATTGACATCAGGTACAACCAGTAAAATGCCATCATCCGATCTCATCATTACAGACTTCTCTTTTATTTTATTTATCAAATAACTTGGTAACAAGCCATGTACAGTTTTATACATTAAAATACTTATTTTATATTTAATTCTTTTCTTTATAGTAAGCCAATGAAGGCCCTTAAGAATTGGAGTAACATGGTTAAATTTGAGACCTCCAGCAATCAATTTGGCTGCTCTATTCTGAATGGATTGAATTGCGGAAATAGACCTATCTGGTAAACTGTAAAACAGGCCATTGCAATAGTCCAATCGTGAATGAACAAATGCATCCACCAAGATATAAATAGCAGATTTATCTATTGACTTACGTAGTTTATAGAGTTCTCGAATCTGTCCGGAGCATGAATTTGTTATCATCTTTATATGATCATGCATCGATAATATTGAATTAAGAATGAAACCCAGATTAGTTGCTTTGTCACTAAATTCTGTCCGTCAGTCCGCTTGATTCAAGTGATCACAACATCATCACTTTTCAAATTAACTGTTTCCTCAACAACCCACCAGACGTCAACCCATTCATCAAAACGTACTCCTATGATTGTAACAGTGCTAATTATAATGATATAAATAATTATTTGTCTAATATAAATTGGAATTATCATTTTCAGCACTGTTTTAATGTCAATATGTGTTGGGACACATTCGAACAAATCAACCACGCAATATCGGTTTTTGTTCCCAAAATTGGACGTAGTCAATCACCGTCTCAACATCAAGCTCCTAGTGCACTTCGCTTATTATACAGAACTAAACTTTATTTTTTCTCCAAAAACAAGTTCAAATCCAGTTGATAAAAAATAATATTTGAGGATTTCCTGTTACTGCTCCAACTTAGCCAATCTACACCGCAAACATAAAGCCCGACCCGTATTTTCCGACCCTTAAATAAAAAGTTGTGAAGAGGCGAGTCCCGGCCAGAAGCAAGACTGCCTAGGCTGGCGGCGGCGGCTGTTGATATTCGAGCGAAGGAAAAATTTCGCCGCGCGGCAAAAGTTCACAATTGGCGCCCAACGTGGGGCCTCTTCTTCAAAAGTTTTAGGTGACAGGTATAGCAGGAGTCAAGGTGATTACCCTCGTCAATTTTTAGGTGACGAGTATATCACAGATAAAATTAAAATTGTTTCTCCCAAACTTTTAGGTGACAGGTATGGCAGTGACCGCAGTGAAATTCCTAATTCCAAATTTTTAGGTGACAGGCACGACAGGAGCCGTAACGAAACCTTCCCAACTTTTTTAGGTGACAGGGCTGGTTCTACCGAAAATATTTTAGATTTTAAGTATCAGGTAGGTCAACAGTCGGTACCGGAGGCAGTTGTTTGTAAAACTTCTCCAGGATTTTCAGGTAATGGGTTTGACGACGCACAGAAAATTTTCAGTTTTAAGTCTGCGGAATTCGCGCCAGAACAAGTTTTACCAGTTTATAAGCCTACACCAGCACAAAGGCTTTCTGTTATTCGTAAACGTAATAATGTTTCAAATTTTAGGAATAGGTGCAGAATGGTTCAAGAGGATGAAGAAGTCGAACACAGTCCTTCGTTTGACAACCACGGGGAATCACTGCATTGTCAGCCGAGTGTAAATACCAAACATCACAGGTTGGTCCGACATCACGAGCTATTAAAACCAGACAAGTTTGATGGCACTGAGTGTCTCAAAACTTTTTTTTAAGAAGTTCGAGATATGTGCTATGTATAACCAATGGAGTATGGACGACATGGAAGCGTATCTGTCATGTTCGTTGACAGGTGAAGCTGCTGAAGTTCTTTGGGACTTAGCGGGACTAGGTTATCAAGAATTAGTAACAAAGTTAGAAAACCGCTATGGAACGAGTGGTCACGAAGAGTCGTATAGATATGAGTTGCAGACTCTTCGACGCAAACCAGGTGAGTCGCTTCGTGAATTATCACAAACGGTAAAAAAGTTAATGTCGTTAGCTTACCCGGGCGAACAGTCAAAGTTGGCGGTACATTTAACAACAGATTTTTTTTTATTTGCTCTTTATGACGCTGATTTAGAACTGAAAGTTAGAGAAAGGGAACCAAAAAATATTGATGAGTCGTTAGGAATTGCACAGCGCCTTGAAGTTTCAAAAAACTTAGTTAATTCATCCTACAGGTTTACCCCACAGGTTAGGAACATGCAGGATACAACAGAAAACAGGATGAAGGCAGTGGAGCGGCAATTAAACGCGCTTCATCAATCGGTTGACGTCATTCAAGACCATAAGGTACAGTCAGCTGTCCCTTGGAGCAGGGGTGAAAAAGTTTGTTTTGGCTGTGGAAAACCAAGACACTTCATCTCCCAATGTCCTCAAAAAAATATACCAAACAAGTTTCAGTCAAGCAATCAAAAGGGTCAGAATAACTGTTACAGGTGCGGAAAATCAGGCCATTTCAAAAGGGAATGTCCAGAGAAGGAAAAGTCAAATAAACAATCACAACGCGTGAACAAATCTAATGAAAATGATGATCAAACTTTATATCTGCCGATTTCGATAAATGGCAGAAAAAGATTGGGTTTGTTGGATAGCGGAAGCAGCGTATCTATCATCCCGTCCTCAATGGTTGACGTCGCGAGGGTCACACCTACCAAAAGATCGCTGAAGGCCGCTAACAATACAGAGATTCCAATGAAGGGGAAAATGAAACTATGGATAAAGGTTGGTGGATTTTCTAAGCTTGCTTCGGTTTTGGTATCGGACCACGTGTCAGAAATTATCTTGGGTTTAGACTGGCTAGTAAATAATAAAGTCTCATGGAAGTATGACGAAGCACAAATTACCGTTGGTAACAAAAATAGAGTAGTGAAGTTGGTCATTAAAAGATTGTCAGAGAGGCAATTGTGCCGAATCTATTCCAGTGTGGAAGTGCAAATTCCGGCACGAGCTGAAATAGATGTACCAACAAAATTGGTGGTACGCCAGCCATCCAAATTAACATTGACAGATTGTGTATGGTCTGAGGCAAGGCAAGTG